AGCAAGGGGGCCAGAGCTCCTAGTAGTGATCAATAAATATTAGCTGTTTTTATTCTTTGTTGAGGGCCAACTGTGATCTGAACAGAAGCAAGGGAGCTTGACCTCTGATTTCCCTCACCCCTTATCTAGAAGTTAGGCTCAGAGATTAAATATCACTAGATAAAACATGGTGGCCGGAAGCCTGAGATGGGGGATCAGTGGACAAAGACGGGGGGTGAAGGTGCTCACCCCCCACCCTGCCACTCCTCACTGTGAGGCCTCAGGCAACTCACTTCCTCCTCTGGGCCTCAGTTCCCTCTCTGTGGAAGTTGAACTAGAATGAGTCCCAAGTTCTGAAACGCTGTGACAGGGGCTGTAATGGTAGCAGTTGACATTTATCGAATGCTTACTACGAGCCAGTACTTGGTGAAGTGCCTCAAGCATATGAATGCACTTCAGGAGGATTAGACCCAATCTCCAGAGGAGTAAACTGAGGCTTAGGACTGACCATTTCAATGTAGCTCATTCCACCAAACACCACAAGCATCTCCCTTTTCCCCCCCAGTTAGCTTCAAAGATCCCTCCAGGAAAAAAAAAATGCGTAAAGGATAGACTGCAAAAGAAACAAAATTTATGTGCATCTGAGATGTAGTTTTTGCAAAGAGACCTATCCTTGATCACAAAATCCTGCAAGGAAAGGTCTATGAATAAATCCATTTTATCAGATGGGGGGCCATTTCAGAGAGCTTCGTGAAGACACTGCAGATTCTTTCCTTCCTCTCGTTCCTTTCAAAGCAAAATCTCAGTTTGATACTAACTTGTCTTTAACACCTCTCTTGAGCTTTTGCCTCCCTATGCAACACAGAAAGGGCAGGTCTTGGGCCCTCGGCTTCAAGCGGGCAGCAGAGTGTAGCCAGAATCAACCAACATTGGAAATTTGTTTATTGCTACTTTTCTTCTCTTAGTCACTCATGATCCTGGTTTCCATACATGGTCTTGGTATTAAATTTTCTTTTTAAGTCATTCTATTTAAGTGTTTTGAAAAGGAGGGGAGGGTAGCAAGGCAGGAATGATGTAAAAAAGGGAGGGCATGATAGGAATATAATTAAGTAAGTAATACCGAGCAGAGTAAGGGAATCTGGTAAAAATGTTGTGGACAGTATTTGGATGATGGAAACTAAGTCAGACTCTAGTCCATTTTGGGGGTTCCCTGTCTGAGATCTTTGGGCTCAATGAGATGATACATGTTTAAAGCACTAGGAAGGTACTCAATCCACAGGGCTGGATCTGTGGGGTTTTCTGGGAAGCCCTGTTAAGGGAAGATTCAGGGTCTCCAAGAACCCTGGCCACCCTGTCTTCCAAAACCCAGGACCAAGAGAAGTGACTGACGTAATGTTTGGTAGCTGTGTGGCCCCACTTTACAGACAAGGAAAGTGAGATCCAAAGAAGAAAAGAGGTTGGCCCAGCAAATTAGGAAAGGGGGCCCTTCCCCAGGCAGGTCCAGCACTGCACAGTTGGGCAGGTGGAGTGCAGGTGGGTTCAATCTCCCTTTGCCAACTCAAGGCCCCTGTGCAGTGCACAGCCTGTGCAACACCCTGTAGCAGTCCTGCCTAGAATATCCCCCCAATTCCTCTTCTTCTAAGCATCCTTAGAAAGAGTCACCTGTGAGTACCCATTGCGAGAACTCATCTTGGCCACATGGTCAATCTGGTTACATTTGCCTTCAGTGGGTGTGGGTGCAAGGCAAGAAAGGGGGCAAGACTTGCCTGCAAACACATGGAGCTAGTGCTCACTTGCAAGTGCTTTAACAGTCTCATCTATCCCTGCCAGCTGTCCAAGGCCAGTCCCCCAACTTCCATCTCCCAGGACGGCCATTCTTGGAAAACTTTGAGGTGATCCCTCCAGCAGCATCCTGATTTCCTGTGTCTCCAGCACTCTTGTAGCAAGAGCTGACATCTCCAGTGGCACCGGAGAATTCTCTGGAGAACTCCAGAGAATTGCCATCACTGCATTCCAGAATTACGTCCCGCTCCTTTCCATCTCTGCTGATAGTATTCTGTTCCAAGCCAGGAGGACATAATGTAAGAATTGTTCCCCCCGCTTCTATCTGCTCTTTGGATTAACCCCGACCTCCCCCACAAACCAGCACACCAGTCGCCAGGGGACAGGTGCACGAGGGCCAACCCTGTCGACCACATAGACTCCTAGAACATCAGAGCAGGGGTGGCCTAGAGACGGCATCAAGCTGGAAAGCCAGGACCCAGTGAGGGGCAAATGGCAAATGCCTAGGCAGCTCCATTGTTTTTCCTGATCTGACACACCTCCAAAGTTTTGGGGAACCCATACGTACAATATGACTTCCATTGGTGGTTCCAGAATTTCTGTATGAGAGAGGCTTAGAGGTGGCAATCTGATATCGGGGGTGGGAGTGGACACGAAGGCTACTTGCCTTGAAGCTACGTTTGCACAGCAAACATGAAGTTTTTGTTAGCCCACCGGCCTTTGTTTGGGGAGGTTATCACAGGGTTGATACTGGTTAAGATTACCACAGAAATTGTCTGGAAGCTTTGTTAGCATAGCACACCCACTCTTTGCTTTAAATGTATGTCCCAGATCAATAAAAACAGCAATGTTCTCTGTTCAATGTTCTCTAAGGATGCTGTGATTCACATTGTACATGAGATTGAGAAACATGTCCATTATTAACATCCAAGAACAAAATAATAATAAGTATGTGTGTGTGTGTATATATATATATATATATATATATATATATATATATATATATAGAATATGGGGTGAGGCTTTGAGTATGCTGATAGAGATTTTTGAGGGAGGCTAAGATGCCCCAAGAAGCCAGACCTGCCTCCTGGGAGGAGGCCCACACTTATCTGCCCCTTAAAGGAGGCAGCAACATGCAGGGCCACACAAAGGGTCCCCACCATGATCTATAGGGAACCATGAGAAGTTCTTATCTAATTATAACTGAGGAAAGAGTATCAAGTGCGATGATTCGAAGTACAACCCCTGCATTCTGGCTCTGCACTGGCTATGTGACCCTGGGCAAGTCACCTAACCTCACTGATGTCCATTTCCCCACCTGGTTGGTAGGGAGGCTCATAGCAGCCGTCTCCCTGGTTCTGTGCACATTACACAGCATGATGCCTGAGAGGCTCTTCACATGGTGCTTGGCACATAGTAAGAGTTAAGCATTCAACACAACCCCTCACTCATCAGGCTTTACCACCATCGCAGAAAGCTAGAGGCACATTACTGGGGCACCTTGGGGTTTGCATGCAAGTGGATTCACAGTAAAGCTAATGAAACTTAAGCTTCAGAGCCCCTCCCAAGCCCTGAACTGAATTTTCTACTTGTAAACCTGTGTACTTTTTCTTAAAAAGCACCCCTCAAATACTATATGCTTCAGGCCCCATAACACTTGGATCTGGCCCTGGGTTCACAGCTCTTGCTAGAGGGCTGAGCAGAGAGAAGCTTGCAGAAGACCCTGCTGAGGGGAGAGACACTGTGTGTTCTGTCTTTTCTTCCCTGGGGCTCCACCGGTGACCTCACAGACCCATCCATCCTTCCACCGGTGATGCTCCACAAAGTGAGGCAACTTCCTCGCTCAGCCCTTCGCCTCAATTCTCAGACGCCAGCACCATGATAGCCCCACTTTACAGGCAAGGAAAGTGAGACCCAAAGAAGAAAGGAGGTTGGTCCAAGGTCTTGAGGTCAGCACTCGGCCAGGAATGTGATAGTTTTGAAAAGTGACCTAATCCTTATTCTGGCATTTGTTGTTTCTCTCTTCAGTGTCAAAAAAGTCTAAAAGCTTGGATCATTCCACACCAGAAAACTTGTTTGTACATTAGTCCTGGGTCTCTTTGGCACTAGCTGGTATCACCTTCTTATTTTGCCCAAGGAGGGCCCCTTCCTTCAGGCAGCCCTCTCTGAATACCTCTCCCAGCTGCCCTGGTCTCTGCTGGTGGGTGCTGGGTAATGTACCACTAAATTACACCGTACTCTCTCTGCTTTTCTTTTTTTATGAACATTGAGTATCGCATTGAGAGGTAGGAAAGCAACTTCCTGGAGGTAGAAGCCTTGTCCTATGCCCTCCCATGATGCCCCAGATAGGCTGGGCACCCGTGAGGGACCCAACAGGGACCCGTGACACCATCTTTTCCCAGCCCCCATTGGTGTTGACTTTCATCATGACATTCCTGACCTCAATCTGCAGCCTTTGGTCCAGGGATTTACTTTCTTTGAGAGTGTAGAATCTCAGTTCTGGATTCTGACAAGCCAGGGGCTGGACCCCCACTCAGCTACTTGCTGTGTGAGTCTGGACAAGGCAATTCATCTCTCTGAGCCTCACTTTTCTTCTCTGGAAAATGAGATAAATACCACCCCTCCCCGCCCCAACCCCCGGGCACGGAAAGGATTCAATAAAATGATGCCAACAGGGCAGAGCTTCACTTCCTGGCTCCTGGTGAGGGTTCCTCAAACCTTGGCTGTTCCCATCAGGGAAGGGACCTGGAATAAAACCGGCCAGGGCGTCCGAGGCGCTTCTGTGTACCGGGCTCAGTTCTAAACCATTTACAGCTACTGCCTCATTTAACATTTACAACAGCCCTATGGGTTGACAGTCTCGGTTCCTCCCTCTACACATTTGAGTGAAATGAAGTTCAGAGAAGTTCTGTGACTTGCCCCCGGTCCTACAGCTTGGCATGCATTGCGTGTTCATTGCGACGGTCAAGTGAAAGGTTGCACGCAGAGCCCAGCGCATAGCTCGAGCTCCTGCAAGAGGATAAGATCACTCCTGGAGAAGTGAGAACATCCCCGGCTCCGAGGCGCCGCTGGGGAAGGGTTAGAGGGGGGCAGGGTACAGAGGAGAGGGTCGAGGGTCAAGGGGGGGGTCCGGGACCGCAGCGGCCTCCCGCCTCGGAGGCGGGGGAACCAGAGGGGCCTGCGGGCGGCGCGGCCCCCGGGTGGGCGGAGCGGGGGCGCCGGGGAGGAGGAGGCGTTACCTTGGGCGGGAGGGCGAAGACCACCGGCAGCAGCGCGAGCGGCGCCAACAGCAGCACCAGCAGCCGCCGCGCGCTCCACACCTTCTTGGCCACTGTCGCCAGCGCTGCCATCTGCACGATCGCGCGGCGGAGCGGGCCGGCCCGGGACTGCCGGTGCCTGGCCCCCCGCGCCGGCTTAAAGCCTGGGGGAGGGTCCGGGGAGGGGACTGCGCTCGGGGACCCGCCCTCGCCCCGCTCGTCCCGGAGGAGAAGGGTGGTGCCTGCGCCCCCGGGACTGGGGGGGCGGGAGAGGGCCGGGAACGTTAGGGAACATTAGGCACAAGAACAAGGAACGGTCTCCAGCCCTCAAGGCAGCGTGGCCTCGGGTTTCACTGGCGGCCACCGGCTGCACCTTTCCTCGCCGCTCTGGACTGCCCGTGGAAGGGGCGGCAATGACAATGTGAGGATTAAAGCGCTTGTTAGTATCGCCTGGGTTCGAGTCCTGGCTTTTGCACGTTCCAGCTGCGCCGTCGTGAGCGAAGGCCTTGGAGCCTCAGTTTACTCATCCACAAAGTGGAGGTGACGCTAATGGTCTCTACCAGACAAGAGGTCGGTTGGGCAGTTTAAATGGGATGATGCACTTATGCTCAGCACAGCGCCTGGCACCGAGCAAACGCTTACTGGGAGTCGCCATTGCTGTTGATTTTGTTCTTACTTCCTTCCAGGGTGGGTGAGTCACCTGCAGGTAGGAGCCTGGAGGCATCTTTTCCTTACTCCTGGGTAAATGCACAGGAGTACAGTTGCTGAGTAATAGGGTCGTTGCGTCCTTAGTTTTTAAAGAAACTGCCAAACTGTTCTCCAGAGTGTTTGTACCGTTTTACATTTCCATTAGCAACGAATAAGTGATCCAGTTTTTCCACATCTTTGCCAGCATTTGGTGTTGTCCCTATTTTTGATTTTAGCCATTCTGATAGACGTGTGGCAATATCTCACTGTGGCTTTAATATTTTCCTAGTGACTGATGCTGTCCAACGTTTTTCATGTGCTCACTTGCCATCTGCATATCCTCTTTGGGGAATCATCTCTTCCTGCTGTTTGCTCGCTTTCTAATTGGACTGTTTGTTTTATGCTGTTGAGTTTTGAGAGGGACTTATATATTCTAGATACGATATATGGATTGCAAATATTTTCCCCCAGGCTATAGCTTGTCTTTTCATCCTTTCAACAAAGCCTTTCACAGAGCAAACATGGTAAGGGGTAGCGGGAGACAAGGATCCTTACTAGCTTGGGAGGACAGAAGTCCCAGCCCCCTCCTCTACTTCTGCTGATACCACCCTGGGAAGGAAGCTGGGACAAACTGTGATAGCCTGGTGAGGATGGAAGTCAAGCCTCCTCACTCAGCCTATGCTGGTGGGGGCGAGGTCATAGTTTTTTCGGTGGTGTTCAGCTGGAGTAGAGAAGGCCTGTCTGAAAATGGTCTCACTAGGCTGATCTTTCCTCGTGCTTTGGCTATAGCATACAGGCTTTTGTTGGGGCTCTCTGGAAGCTCCTGTTGGCATTTCCGGGTTACCTGCTTCTTCCAAGTCTAAGATAAAGTAGGCAAAAAGAAAACCCAATAGACTTATCACCGGATTGTTCCTTCGGTCCCAAGTCACTGCCTTCATCTCTCCACTTTCTAGAGTCTTCTTGTTTGTTTTATGTGTATTGTACAGGATTTTCAGTTGTACTCAGCAAGAAGTATAGAGAAAATTATGTCTACTCCATCTTCCCAGAGGTGGAAGCCCCTCTGTTCTTATTTTATTATTTCCCATGTGGGTCAGGCCACCATAATTCCCGTAAACCCCTAGGGCAAGTTATTTCCCAATGGGCCCTTTGCAAGCTGTGATGAAACTTTCTCCAGCGTCCTTTCAAATTGGGCACCTGACCTTGAGCCAGCCCAATAACCGGCTTCATCAAAGGTTCCAGCCAGGTTAGTGGCAGACGACCTCAGATGAAGGGTGAGGCCCTGCAGGGAGCACTTTGGACATTCGAAGCCTGGGTGTGGGAGGATAGTTTTCCAAACCAGAGAATCTATTCCCAGGGATTTGGGCCAGCTGACATCATAGAAACTGTGGCCCATTCCCCAAAGCCTGAGCAGAGGCAGTTGGGACCAGGGCATATTGTACCCAGGGCCCCTGGGCTGGCTTCCTTGTTCTGGAAGTAGCTAAGAGATTAAGAGGACAGTATTTAGTATTAGAGCAGAAGTTTCAATCTGGTGGCTCGAATGGAATAATAATAATAACAAGTAGCAAGCACATATACCGCACTCACAATGTGGGAGGCACTGTTTTCAGCACTTTGCATGTTTTAACTCATTTAATCCTTATAATAATCTGTTTGCATTACCTTTCTGAGTCTGTCACCCTGCATTAGACAAAGCTACATTCCAATTCCAGCTTGAATTCTTGTGCAACCCTAGACAAGAGCTTGAACTCCAATGGGCCTGTTTCCTTATCTGAAATGGACACAAGAAGAGTATATAGCTCACAGGGATGTTGGGAGAATTAATGAGCAAGGCTGGAGCACAGTACTTGCCCATAGTAAGTGTTCAACAATTGACAACAACTATGATCATTCCGCTTGTGGCCGATTTTATTTTCCCAGGATGGCACCAATGTCTATCTTCCATCCTATGTGGGCTTCCCATAAGCCCCTCTTAAACGTGATTGACACTGTTCCCACTGAGAGTTAGGGGTCGCTGTTCCTGCCTCTTGAAAGGGGGTGGGAGCTTGTGCCATGCCAACCAATAGAACATGGCAGGACTGATGCTCTGGGATCTCCAGGGCTCAGCCATAAAGAGGGTACAGCTTCTGCTTGGGTCCCTCACTCCTGGGACTCCCATCCTTGAAACCCAGCCACCATATTTGAATTTCAGACTAAACCAGAGACAAAAACCACAGAGAGAAAGCAAGGCTTCTAATGAGCTGCCAGCAACAACTAACCAGCCTATGAGCAAATGAGCCTTCAGATGATTCCAGCCCCTAGCCTTTGAGTCTTTCAGCTGATGTCCTAGACATGGTAGAACAGAAACCAGACACCCCCATGCTGCCCTGTCCAAATGTCTGACCCACATGATCATGAGCATAACAAATCGTTGTTTTATGTCATTAAGCTTTGGAGCAATTTGTTACATAACAATAGATAACTATTACTACCGCTATTACTTTTCTCACCCAGAAGTGAGCACAGGGGGGCAGAATAACAGAAGAAGGAGGCAAACTCACAGAGGAAGTTGGTGGCAGAGAACAGCCAGGATCTGCATGGGCTGAATCCTCTAAGAAGAGCTCCTTATAGGAAGGAGAGTCCACACAACATCCCTAGTTGGATGACTTGGACCTTTGCACCCTACAAGAGGAGTGATGGCTCCCAGGCTGGACCCACTAACTCCCTTTCTTTGTTTCTTCCCCCTTTACACTGAGAAAGAAGTAGGATGTGGGAGGGAATTCTTTTTTCTTTTTTTTTTAAGATTTTATTTGACAGAGAGAAAGACAGTGAGAGAGAGAACGCAAGCAGGGGGAGTGGGAGAGGGAGAAGCAGGCTTCCCGCGGAGCAGGGAGCCCGATGTGGGGCTCGATCCCAGGACCCTGGGATCACGACCTGAGCCGAAGGCAGACGCTCAACGACTGAGCCACCCAGGCGCCCCATGGGAGGGAATTCTTAAAGAACTTCCACAGTTGATGGATGGTTTGACTCCCATTTATTTTCATTCCCTACTAGGCTTGTCCATTAGACAGGTGATGAAGCTGCAGCTCAGAGAGGTTAAGACATTTGCCTAAGGTCACACAGCTAGTGCATGATAGAGCTGAAGTTCCAGTGATACACACCACCCTTCCCCCTCCCCATTTTTAGAATTATTTTTTTAATATTTATTTATTTTTAGAGAGAGAGAGAGAGAGCAAGAGCAGGGTGAGGGGCAGAGTGGGAGGGAGAGAGACCCTCAAGCAGGCTCCGTGCTGAGTGTGGAGCCCGACACAGGGCTCAATCTCATGACCCTGAGATCATGATCTGAGCCAAAACCAAGAGTTGGGCGCTTAACTGACTGCACCACCCAGGCACCCCTCCCCATTTTTAATAGCAAAATATTTGTAAAATTTATGTAAAGTGCATACATATTGATTATAGTCACCAGCCCAGGTTTTTTTTTCCCTAAAGATTTTATTTATTTATTTGAGACAGAATGAGAGAAAGAGAGCACAAGTGGGCAGAGGGACAGAGGGAGAGGGAGAAGCAGACTCCCCGCTGAGCAGGGAGCCCCATGTGGGGCTCGATCCTGGGACCCTGGGATCATGACCTGAGCCGAAGGCAGATGCTTAACTGACTGAGCCACCCAGGCGCCCCTACCAGCCCAGGTTTTAAGGGCTTTCTATGTGCCAAGCACTGTGCTGAGCGCTTACACGCATGACTAAGCCATGCCTAGTTCTTTGACCCTATGTCCTACCTGCCTTCCCCTCAATCGCTGCATGCCTCCCTCTTTGTGACCTTCCTTCTGCTCCTTGCATGCTGAGTTCTTGGCATGGACTGCTCCCTCTGCCTGGATGTCCCCACCCACCCTCCCATCTCAATGGCCGCTTTTTCTCTCACTCAAGTCTTGACTGAAACATCACCTCTTTTTTTTTTTTTAAGATTTTTTATTTATTTATTCATGAGAGACAGAGGGAGGGAGAGAGAGAGAGAGAGAGAGAGAGAAGCAGAGGGAGAAGCAGGCTCCCAAGGAGCAGGGAGCCCGATGCGGGACTCGATCCCAGGGCCCTGGGATCACGACCCGAGTCGAAGGCAGACGCTTAACCATCTGAGCCACCCAGGCGCCCAAACATCACCTCTTTTAAGGCGCCCTCCCAACTACCTAGTCTCCTGGAACATAACTTCCTCAACTCTGCATCACGCACTCTGTATAAAATCCCCCAAGTGCTTTCCCTCACAGCAAGAGTCATCATTTGAAGTGATTCCCCACTAGATTAACCATTAAACTCCATGAGAACAAGGAGTCCAAATTATTCCCTGCCAAACTCCCAGTGCCTGGAACAGTACTTGGAACATAGCAGAGGTCCAGTAAGTCCTGAAAAATTGAACATGCCTTAAATCATTGTACTTTATTATTATATTTTTATTATATT